GTGAACAGGTGCCAGGTCGTGCTGAAAAATGAAATCTTCATCTCCATAAAGCTTTTCAGCAGATGGAAGCATGAAGTGCTCCAAAATCTCCTGATGGTTGCATTGACCCTGCCCTTGATAAAACACTGGACCAACACCAGCAGCTGACATGGCACCCAGACCATCACTGACTGACAACTCTTCTCATTGTGCAGCGTTTTCTGCCACACTTTTTCCTTCCCACAGACTTCSCACTGAGGTGCCTTGATACAGCACTCTGGGAACAGCCTGTTCATTCAGAAACGTCTTTCTGTGTCTTACCCTCTTGCTTGAGGGTGTCAGTTTGTGCTTCTGGACAGCAGTCAGGTCAGCAGTCTGACCCATGATTGTGGTTTTGAGTAATGAACCAGACTGGGAGTTTTTAAAAGCCTCAGGAATCTTTTGCAGGTGTTTAGAGTTAATTCGTTGATTCAGATGATTAGGTTAATAAGTCGTTTAGAGAACCTATTCATGATATGCTAATTTTTTGAGATAGGGATTTTTGATTTTTCTTTACTTTTTTGCCAAAATCATCAATATTAAAACAATAAAAGGCTTGAACTACTTCAGTTGGTGTGCAATGAATCTAAAACATATGAAAATTTAATGTTTTTCAGTACCTTACAGAAAATAATGAACTTTACCTCATGCTAATTTTTTGAGAAGGACCTGTATATACATGTTGGGAAAAAAAACATCAAGAATAAGTTAAAACCCGCTTTTCTATAAAACCTGGATACAAACAAATAAAAACTGACTACCAACACAAACAGGTCAGGGAGTTGGGAATCACTTAGCCTGCAGGATGGTTTCCTTATATTCTGAAATATTTCAGTTCGGTCCAGTTGCAGTTACATTATAGTATGCAGGTCAATTAAATAAAGAGCCTTATGAAAATTGGCTGACTTCTATCCAGGGAAACTGAGAAGAAGATTCTAATTTGATATGTTGTTAAAATCATTGGGTTTATACCTTTAATAGCTGGTCAGTCAAAAAACAACAACTTCAGAGTAGACTTTCAAAAACCACATACTTTTGAGTACAAGTTTATGAAAAAACGCCCCAAACTTTATTTGAAGAAATGTGATTTTGCCTCCTGTTTTATACATTTTAAAACATCCTACCCTTATCTCGATCGTACAGCAGATCCTCTGTGGAGTAGGGGCTGCCATCGTGTGATCCTGGGGGGCAGGCTGGTGAGGGACAAGGCGACAGACTGGAGCAGCTGCTGGACCGCCCAGGGGCCGATGGAGTCTGGGTGTCCACGCTGTGGGAGCTGCCGCTGCGCTGCTGTGGAGGGAAGGGTGCCCGACGCCCATCGGGGACCTCCAAGGACTGCAGAGGACCAGAACCGAGGATTAATAAGGTCTGAGACTGACCGAGGCCACAGACAGACTAGAATGAATGTAAAGAGAGAGAGAGAAAAAATAAAAAAGAGTTTCACCTTGAGCTCCTCTTTTTCTCCATTGTCTTTGATGAAGACTTTCTCCAGCTCATGGTTGATGCCCTCCATGCTGCTGGGGACCCTGGAGATGGAGGGCTTTGGCACGGTAATGTTGGACAGTGGCATCTGGGCCGACTTCGACATGGAAAACTACTACAACACACAGACCGTTACACAGCATTATTTAAAACGTATTTTAAGTTTCTGTTTCTATAATATAAATAAACATGAAAACACTTGAGGTATTTTCAGTTTTCAATTGTTCTTTTACAGATCAGCTGCTGTGTTGGCAGGTTTTTAGGTAGGATTTTGGAAGAAGGTGTCGATAGTGGCTGTGTCCAAACTCAGGGGCTGCGTCCTTCTTTGGAAATGGCCTACCTGGTCTAGGTGAGCTGGGTCCTTGGTCGACCACAAAAACCAGAAAAAATGTATTTGAATTTGGACGGTCTAGCCTTCAGCTTTATTCCTGCCCTTACCCCAGTGTACGCTAAAAAAAAAGCAAATTTAGACTGAAATTAGCAAAATACCAATATATTTAGATTATTAATCAGGGTTGGTCAACATCAAATTCAAGGACCTTTCAAGGACTTTCCAGTACCAATTTCCTCAAATTAAAGAACCATGATCAACGGCTATTACCTGCTGCTACCACACAATGTTACCAATAAACAGGTTTAATATCATGTAAATTCAATGAAAAACTGAACAGCATAGAAGTTGTTG